TTCAACTGATGATTACAACTATCTACCTATAAACATTTAAATTGAGGGATATCACACTTTGTCAGGTATAGCCCACCAAATCTATATCTAACTTGAACGTGATATACAGATAGGATATCATTAGGTTTATTTCTTTCTTTGTACAACTCCAGAAGTTGAGCCTATCCTTAGACTGTATTATGGCACTGGTAATGGCTTGATGGGACTCATATTTTCATGGTTCAACTATAAATAAATTCCAAAAGTTATGCCAAATTTGGGATTGGTCTTGTGGAAATTCTCAAAAACAAATAATCCAAAAATGGATTGGAGCAATTCCCATAAAAAGTTATGTCTGGCCTTAAACCGAGTCGATATCCTATCCTTACGTTAAAAATTGTTTGCGCATTCCAATCTTGTACAGAAGGCTTATCATACTAAATATTTAATGGGTACAGATAAAAATGTCATTGATACATCTAAAATAGTTTAGAAAACCTCATTTGAATAAATTTCAGTGCCAGAATTCAAAATTTATTCTTAATTCCTTCCTTCTTTTCAGAAGAATTCTAACCTGTGATTTCAGATCGGAAGAATGTTCCTGATAGAAGTATAACTCTTGTTTAATCTCTTGTAATTTACTTTCTGTTTCTTTATAATGAGAATTAGCTTTCTCAGCCTGAATATCTTTCTCTTCTAATTCACTTTCTAGAAATTTAATCTGAAAACACAAAATGACCATTAATTCTACTTTTTACATGTAGTTGGAGACAACACAAAAATGAAATAATCACAGCAAACAATTCTTAACTCTTAACAAAAAGGAGAGAAGTTTTGAGTTTTTGAAAAATTGAATTGTTTTTGCCATATTCCATTTTGCCAAGAGTATATTGAAGAGCTGCAGTGACTATATCAAGAGTTATCCATGTATATCCATATTTTTATATTCTACAATGTTTCTGTGTCCCACTCATAAGGTACCTATGAGGGGTATGTTTTTCCCCACTCCAAAAAATCCATTAGTCAATGTAATGTAATGTGGTATTGTTTGGGGCATAGGAACATTGTAGAATATCTGTTAATGTCTATGAACTCATCAAAGTTATACCAAATTTATCTCTAATTGTGGTGAGAATTCTCATATTTGGATTAGGTCAACTCCTATAAAAAGTGACATTTTTTGTCTGGCCCTAAAAGTGTTAATATCCCCATATCGTAGGTGACCGCTTGAAACCTTTAAATATTTAATTAGTGGTTTTTGGGTTATTTACAATCAAGCTAAGAATACGAGGTTTTGATCATAAGATCCGAGCTTTTACAAGCTTTCGAACGGTACCAAATAGTTAAAATGACCAAATATGGCATATATAGGTTTCAAGCGGTCACCCATGATATGTATATCAGGTCTAAGAAATGGATAGAGCCAGATTTGCTGGCTACACTTACTCTAGTTTGTAGAAGTTCACTACCCTTGATATCTTTCTGTTGTTGTGTATTATGAAGTTGTCTTGTAATATTATCTAATTGTTGACTGAGTCTAGAGTTCTCAGCCCCTAATATACCACATTTCTCACTTAATTTCTTCATTTCTGCTTGTTGATTGGAAACCTAAAACATTAAAATCCAGAGTTGTCAAATTTTGCCTGGTTTCCAACTTTTTAAATCTGAAGATGCTACTCTTTGCAATATGCATTTAAGACATAAGTGACAATCCTTTTTCCTTCTTAATAAAGGTTTGAACTTTTAGTACCTAAGATAGCTAAAGAAAGCATTCCAACTTTTCTTTTGAATTTGTAAATACTGCTAAAAATCTGATCTTTTGATCTTCTGTAACTTGGTAGCAAAGATATATTTTCTTCTTTAGTAAGCCTGGCTCGAGCACATCAAGAATCGGCAGTTATAATGAAAACTTTTTAACGGTGGTACTTTTTTTCACTTGAGAGCTGATGGTACTTTTTTTTACTTGAGAGCTAATGGTTACTTTTTCCCTTGAGAGCTATTGGTCACTTTTTCACTTGAGAGCTAATGGTACTTTTTTTACTTGAGAGCTAATTGTCCCTTTTTCACTTGAGAGCTAATGGTCTTTTTCACTTGAGAGCTAATGGTCTTTTTCACTTGAGAGCTAATGGTCCCTTTTTCATTCGAGAGCTAATGGTCCCTTTTTCATTCGAGAGCTAATGGGCCTTATTTCACTTGAGAGCTAATTGACCTTATTTCACTTGAAATTCAAAAGCAATCAAAGATTTCAAGAGTATGATAATTATAAAAAAAGTTTTACGATATACACTCATTTACCAAAGAAACAAAACTCGTAATTTTAGTCTAAATAAAATTGGTTCAGCCTACCTGAGTTGTCATCCGATCTATTTTCTGTTGTTTTCTAACATTGGTATCATCAAGAGATAATCTAGATGTCAACAGAGATAGTTCAGATTGAGCATCTTCTAATGCCTTATTACGACTATAGTATTGAGCTTGTAATGACTGTAATTCTATCTTCTGCTGTTTATTAGTTCTATTTTGTTCAGTCAGTTTATCTTCTAGTTGACGTATTTCTATATTTGAACGTTTGATCTCAACTGAAATTTACAACCTCGACAAAATATAAACAAGCTCAGAAACTGTTCTACATGAACGAAATGTACATGTTATCACATGATGGTTTCATAAGCTTATAAAGGCAGTATATTGCCTTGCTATTGACAACATACACATTAATCTTCTTTCCCAGGAAACTCTTATAGGTGTCGGCACACGAGCGGTCTTGGTCAGAGATTTTTGTCACTGACTCGAATCTAGAGTATAATCTTGCATGTGCCCATGCTTCCACGATAAGATTATCGAGTCGCCGACAGGATTCATAATAACTTTGATAATTGTTTCTGATAGATTTATCGTCTGCAAGACAAACC